CTTTTATTTTCACTATACTTTGCGCTGGTATAATTAAGTTTTCCTATACATCCTCTCGTTTATTGCATTTGGATGCGGCAAAAATGATTCTCAATCAGGATGGACCGCACTTTTGCTTTCGTCTCTGTTTCATCAAAACCCAAACGGAAATCAAGACCTCATTTTAAGATACATGATGTAAGAGATGTAAGTCATACATCATTGTGGTAAAATTATATCACCAGTTCTTCATCACTCTAACGAAATATGGTGATTATATGTTATATATGTGATCTACAGGTGGTTTCTAAAACCTACTTTTATATCTAAATATTTCCGCATCTAGGCATTACTCATATACTAGTATATGCGAAGAAAAGTTGGGCTTCGAAGAATCTCTTGTTTCATAATTGTTGAGCTTACTTTCATTTCAAGTGAAAGTGTTTGCTAAAGAGATTCGAAGGTCGATTTAACCAGAAGACGACGGCGGATTCCTCTTGACCAGTTGTCGATTGGCTTTATTGGAACATTCATGTTGACGCTGTTTCCGAGGTAATCTTCTTCAATTTCGGTGAAAGGTGCTAAGCTTTCGTCCATCACATGGCGGTCATCACCAGAGCGAGGTATCATCTCTACAACCAAATGCAATCTAACGAGTCAAGAAAACTTTTTCTGTCTCACATGAAGGCAAAATAAGCTCATAAACATAACCAGACGTGTGTCCGACCTTGCGCAATCGGAGTGATGGTTATAACTTATATTTAGAAAGGGGGAGATAATGGTCTTCAAACCTTGACATTGACTTGGTACATTCCTAGACACTGCCGGTATCACAGTCGGCCATCCTTACCACAGAGTAACAACTCATCTTTGATAAGGCGTGATGTCGTATCTCAATGATGATGCCGGCGAAGCGCCTAGGAACGCATCAAGACAACGTTCAGATGTTGGAAATTATCATCAATTCTAATGCAGAGAACATAGGACTAGGTACGCTCTACAAGGTATTCCTGTCGCTCCTATCGAGTTGCTAAAACGAAATCATTCTAACACTATGACTAAAGAAAAATGGAGAAACAAAAGGCTATTCCATCTTGATCTTCATGTCTACGATCGAAAGTATTTTGCCTGAAAAATTTTTATTCTTCGACTACCCTTATCAGATTTAGTTCTTTTTTGTGAAATATTTGTTTGTGGTCTATATTTATATAAACCATTATCTGTTTTCCATTTTTAAAATTATAATTTACTCTTATGTCATCACCCAAAAGAATGCTTATTTGAACATACTTTTTAGAGAACTCCCATTTTCCTCTCTTCATATTTTCGTTTTCGTGGCCTGTCCTTCGTGTTATATTCATTTATCCTTAATATATATTATCATCTTTAGGTCTCGAAGTTCATCGGTTCTCCGCCCGGCTATGTGGGCCATGAACATGGGGGTCAGTTGACTAAGGCGCTCTCCACCTGCCCGAATGCAGTTGTTCTTTTTGACGAATTGGAAAAAGCCCATCCTGACGTATTAACCGCGCTTCTGCAAGTCCTTGACGAAGTAAGTCATTTACTTAAATAATTTATTCATTTGCGACTGTTACCTCAGGATCTTTGTCACTTTCTCCTGATTATCGTTTTTTACCAAACTTAGGTCCAAATTTGTTTTTATTATTTACTTTATGGTTATGGAGGTTTAATGAATGCTTTTTAGCATATGTTATGCAATTAACAAAGCAGATCATTTGATTCGAATCGTAAATTGCTCTTGCCAGAAACCAGGATCAATAATTAGAAAGGCTAAAAATTATCTTGGTTCAGAACTATTTCCCATTAGCATTGATTTTAAATAATCTAACAATTTAAAGTAATAATATGAGAGAATTCAACTATTTAGGGCAAAACTGGTAGTCGGATACAACTTTATGCAGGTTCCTGATACTACCCTCTTGCCATCTTTAGAAAAAGCTAAGCGAATTATAAAGAAATAGAGCATCAGAATAATGCATTACTAACACTTTTTTCGGTAATGCCTTTTTTAGAGAACCTTCAGACTCCAGCTGTAAATCATTTTATTATAATGTCCTGTGCACATGTTGTTGTGTCTTTGGATTGAGAGACTTATCGACCTAAAAATAAGAGGCTTTTGGTATATGAATCCCCCTGCGAGGGTTTGTGGGTCCAGAAATTGGCAGCACACTGGATAGAGTGATCTAAAACCTAACTCTTTGTAGTATATGGAGGAGGCCTGACCAACCTGGAGTCTGGTTTAGGCTTTAAATTATCAACTGGCTGATAAATATCTTATAAAAAATAGCGTGCATGCATACCCAAACCGAAAAAATTATCAGAATTGCAGGATTGGATAAACGATAGCTTATTTAAGTAAGGAAACAAATATGACCACATCCGCTCCTCTTCTCATTCGTCACTTTAATTCGTCTGAATCCATGTAAGGTAGGAGTGAAGTAGCTAATAAAACAATGGAATGTTTTACTAAGATCGAAAAATTAAGTATACGAAGTAAATAGGTTTTTAGCTGGCCACTTATCTTGGTTTAGTGTTTTTGGTTAATTTTGTGATTGATGGTTACTGGCCCTGACGATATTCGTCAGATAACTGACTAAGACTCATCAAGGATTTTTCGGTTTCGCAGGAGGGTAAGCTGCGATTTTTTTACAAGTCTAGGCCAACGTTTTTCGGTGTTAATTGAGGTTTATCCCTTACAACCGCCTTTTCAGAAGAAATCATATGCTAACTTCAATATATTAAGGTGTTCCTTGACACTTCCTAACTTGCTTGATTGTCTGATTGTCCATTTTTATCTTTAATTATTTTTTAAAGATATGTAGACCAAGATATTGTGGCCTCTGGTATGGTCGCAGTCTCCTTTCGATTTATAGAAGTGGG